TTTTTTTTTTTTTTTGAGGGGAGAAAGAAAAACGTGATTGAGAATTAAACTCTTTATCAATATGGCCATTTTCATCCTGAAAATTATTTCCATCCTTCTCGGTCTAATGAATTTCAGTGGTCTTAAGAATGACTTAACACTGCCAAATCCCGCTATGTAAAGTCATTGCAAGTTGCATCGATTTTTTTTTCCCCCCTCTCTCCAGTTTCTAATAGGCTGAGGAAAGCAAATTCAGTTAATCGGCAGCATTGGCTTTGCACTTGACAGGTGTGGCCGCCACATCGCAAGCGAGACGCACAGGACAGCACGGTGCGCTGCCGTGGCATCAGCACCCAGCCTGGGAGACCCTCCCTCAGCCCGAGGCGGACCTTCAGGAGGTCTTACTCTGCCCCCGCAATTTAGTTCTGCTTCATATAGCCAAACCTTGCTGGATTTCATCTAGAAAGGAAGGAAAGGATAAGGAGACTTGAATATACCAGACACACAGGAACTCTCCCCTTGAAAATCCATGATGCAGGGGCGCCTGGGTGGCGCAGTCGGTTAAGCGTCCGACTTCAGCCAGGTCACGATCTCGCGGTCCGTGAGTTCGAGCCCCGCGTCGGGCTCTGGGCTGATGGCTCAGAGCCTGGAGCCTGTTTCCGATTCTGTGTCTCCCTCTCTCTCTGCCCCTCCCCCGTTCATGCTCTGTCTCTCTCTGTCCCAAAAAAATAAATAAACGTTAAAAAAAAATTTTTAAAAAAAAATAAAAAAAATAAAAAAAAAATAAAAAAAAATAAAAATAAAAATAAAAAAGAAAATCCATGATGCAGTGGTATCCCCTGCCTCTCTAAAGACGTCTGTCCCTTAACGAGACATTCACTGGGGCTTTGGAGTGCCCACTGGTAGAGAGGAAGTTGGAGGGGGAAAGGGTCTTTGCCTTTGAATCCCTCAGATGCAGCCGAGTGGAGCCGGGCAGGGCAGGAAGGGCAACACTGAGGAGCACAGGTAGCAGGGGTGGGGACCAGACTTCTCAGATGCTACAGGTTATCCTAGTCGGCTGAGTGACCAGTGTGAGAAGGTGGGGGAAGTGGGGGAGGTCAAGAAAACAGGAGATTGGGGTGCCTGGGTGGCTCAGTCAGATCTTCTGCCTCCTTCTCTCTTTGCCCCTCCCTTGTTGTTGTGCTCCCACACACTTTCTCTGTCTCTCTCAAATATAAATTAACATCGGGGGCCTGGGTGGCTCAGTCGGTTAAGCGTCGGACTTCGGCTCAGGTCATTATCTCACGGTTTGTGGGTTCAAGCCCCACGTCGGACTCTGTGCTGAGCGATCAGAGCCTGGAGCCTACTTCGGATTCTGTGTCTCCCTCTCCCTCTGCTTCTCCCCTGCTTGCACTCTGTCTCTCACACAAATAAATAAAAACACTAAAAAAAATTTTTTTAATAATAAAAAAATATTAAAAAAAAATTTTTTTAGTGTTTTTATTTATTTTTGAGAGAGAGAG